TCTTGACTACATGTAGGTAGAGTAGGTACTTTACTAACCAATCCTTCGGGCATCATGCACAAAGCTGGCTACACCCCCAGCTCAACAACCAGTGGTACTCTATAATATGATCGGCGATCGGCGCGCTGATCGAGCACCCCGAGATTGAGCGACCAACATTCGCCTGGTTCGAAATCTAATTCAGCCGTTTCCGATCGTGTACGCGCAACACCAACGAACGAAAACAGGCCCAGGAGTAATTACGCGGTGTGCTCTCTTTACCCATCGAAAGAAAGACAAAAAAGGTCCACGTAGCATTAGTTGACACACACACACATGGTTTACGCCCCCAAGCGAGGCTCGCAGGGCAGGGCAGTCATCATCAACTCGGGCGTCTAGGACTGGACAGAGATAAAAACACGAATGCGCAGAATGTCTCATGCGCAGCCCAGTTGGTGACATTGAAATAAAGTTGGGGTTTCACAGCAGCGCGGTGCACGGGGTGTGATTGGTCTCGTGGGAGAGCCAAGATGTGACAGGTCAATTGGCTCTGGAGTCGGGGCCTGTCGCTTGGAATGCCAGGGGCCCCCCGCCTTAGCTCTTGTCTTTGATGTTGATACCTGTCGTCTCAGAGCTGCCAGCTTTATCATGACGAGGGTTAATCCTAGAGTACTCTACTCTACAAGCCGCTTCACGCGCACGCATGTACGAAGATGAGGCACGCGCTCACCATTCCCTAGAGACTAGTGTACTCTATTTACCCTCATTGCATTATATGCCTATCGCGCAATCTCTCAGTAAATCTTCAGATTGGTCAAGTGTCGGTATGTGTTTACGTGTGTGTTGAGCCTCAAACACACAAACCCACTCATCTCGTCCAATGGAGCTGTAATGTCCCAGACCAGTCCGATTCGCTATTCCTCAGGCCTGCGGTAGACGCGGCCGCCTTGAGAATTATCATTTGGTCCATAAAGTGCAAAAAAAGGCTGGGTCTGAGTCGACCATCAGGTCGGTCACACAATGATATGAACAATTTGGTCTTCTGCATGAGCACCCGTATTTTGGGGGGGGTGGGACAGTCTCTGGGGCTTGTTTGTTGCAGTTGTTTCGTGAGTCAACCCTAACCCACACAGCTAACAGGCCGTAGAATTCAATTCACCTGTTTTATGTGTTCCTAGCTTGATAGAAATCCATTGCATGATTCTCTCTCTCTGAAAGACGTAATGCTGATTCGGCGTGTTTTATAAGTGGATTCTCCCATTTTGGCAGCTCGGGTACTAAAATGAATTATCATCATGAAATGTCACTCGGGAGTAAATGATAGTTGCGATATTGATTTTAGGCTTTTGTGCCTGGGAGTACACTCTCCGGGTTAAATTATGGACGGAGTTAAGATTAGATCCTGGGGCCATAGTTCTGGCCGGGTTTTAGATGTGCATTGTATGGTATACTAGGCACTCTGTCCCGTACATAAGTCTAGAAAAGGATTCGGGGAATATATTTTAGGGTATGTATGTGACCCTATAGTCAGATATTCTGTAACGTTTAATTAAGAATCAAAGATCCTCTCCGCGATATCTCTTTGACTATGCCAGTATATGAGCCCATGGCGTGTTGGCCGCTTTTTGTCCGGGAATACTTAGTCCTTTATCAACTACCACTATACCGGAAGAATTTCTGGGTGCCCACTCTAAGATGTACGCGTATATTATTCCCCGTGCTTCCTAAGTTCTCGTAAAATCACCAAATATACACGCAGAGCTTACTTTGAATTGTCAAGAACCGAAAGAAAGAAAGAGCGAGAAACCAGCGAGTCGCAACCTAACCCTAAACGATAACTATAAAGGCATGATGATGATGGATTAGAATAAGAGAACCCAATATCAGCCGCGGTTTCATGTCGCTTTAACTGTTGTATACTAGGGCTTTGAGGGCTGATCGATCATGATGAGAAACGAGATCTTGTATATATATACTTATGTAGACTCTTCCATGATTCAACACGTGTAAACCATGGTCTGGATGACACCCGGGGCCAAATAAGAGGGACTATACCCATACGAAATAGCGCAAGACATCCGAATTAAATCGGTATCCTAACTACATGTATTATACTGTAGCACTATCATAACTGCCCTATTCTGCCAGATATAATAGTGCTAGACCACTATTTGTGCGAATTGAAAACTATATATTTCTCGGATGTAGCTCTAGATTTATATCCCGAGAAACTCCATATGTGAGTCGTAGCTAGCTGCAATCAATGCCGAAGACGAGATCGATGGTCCCGACACCGCGAGTGAGACTTCATGATTCCAAACACCGGGCGAATATTTTTTTTTGTTTAATTCATTAGTTGCATGCCACCGGAGCGAATAAAGTGTGAGATTGGTATGACGGAAAACGTTAAATACCCAGTGAATTACGTTTTCTTGTTATATCTGGCGATAGTGTTTCTACTACAAGAAGGTTGGGATGGATAACTGTCATTTATTCTCCCCGAAAGAACATCGTAACGCTATGTACGACGTATCGGAGTCATGTGTTCTCAGCGTTACTCTTGGTCCCTAGCTAGGTACATACATATATCCCATACTCGGGAGGCTCACCGCTTGCTGTTATCTTACTGAATGCTCGGTATTAAAGCCAGCAAACATGAGTACACCCAGAGCATTTGGACCTTGATGTATCCACAACAAACAACCCCCCGACACCATACATGTGACGTATCAGCGCAACTTGTAGATTTGCGCCTCCGGACGGAATATTGAAGGTTCAAATGCATCCGGGGGTAAGTTTCTCCAGTCCCTAATACGTTATATATGCTTCCTTCTCCATTCTCTATTTTTTTGATGTAATAAACCCACCGAAGTACTTCCATACCTCCCGCGCCTATCATCCCCCCCCCCCCCAACTCCCCCGGCGGGCCGTCTCCTCTTTACCTCAACGTAGGTCGACTTTGCTAGTTGGGATTTATCTGGGCGCTGTATATATATAGGTTGTTCTTTTAACTCTCTCTTGATCTCTCAATAGACAATGACTAGCGTAGAGGCCAAGTGATGATGGAATTCTATTGCCGAGTCAGAGACAATGATAATGAGACATGCTCTATGAAAGTGGGAGAGAGAAACCGTAAAAGATCGCAAGATGCGACTCAGTTTATTGTACTCACACGTGAGATTCTCACAATATAATGTCGCGCCAAGACAGGCATTCGTGTCACTAGCAACTCAACCAATCGGAATGACGAGAAGGCAGGACTTCTTGGCCCTTCACCATACATTGATTCACGCTTCGCGGGAGTCGACGCGGTAATTGGGTAGTTCAACACTTCCAAAGCCCCTTTCCCCTGATATTGATGTATGCCATGAAGCGAGAGAAAATGCATTTGCTCCGGATCCCATTTCTCTAGAGATATTCGGACTGAGCATCGATCGTGTACGGGTATGGCTACCCACCAGTGCACATGATATCTTTCGGAAGTACAGCAGTGCAAAACGTCCATGTCCCGTTCCTATGGATTAGATGGAATAGCGACTAGCTGTGTGACCTTTGATATAAGACTCAATGTTCATGATATCTGTCGGCCCTCAGCTTTGATTCGTGATCAATTCTAAGAGGAGGTTGTGACAATGTACCCTAAGCTTCTGGATAGGCTTTGGATATAATCCGTGTTTGACTTTCAGAAATACAACTTCCTTGTGTACATGTAGGGAGACCGTCTCTCCGTAACAAATGAGGTTAAAGCCGGCTCTGATATATCAGACCTCGAAATTTCATTATCTGTTACCGGCCGGATATTGCAAAGAAATTGAACACCCATTTGGATAAAAATGCGAAATACCCTTATAACTCCCCTTACTGATTGGTGTGGTCATAAGTCGTGCTGGCTAGAGTTGTGTAAACTAAAGTACAAGTATTATGAGTTGTCAAAAACAAGTAGAAATTTGCGATGAAACCAAAATTTGTATAGGAGTTCAACTTCAACGTTGACTTACGCCAAAATCAAGCAGCAATAAGGCAAGAGATTTTGTTTCTGTGATCATCTATAGTGGTATTGTCTAGGATAGTGATATGGGCTCAAAGGTGGTACTTTCAAATTTGGTAATTGTAGGCTATTTGTGATTGTGAGGCCAGTGATATTGGGCACAATACAAGACGAGACGAGACTGAAACATAGTCTTGTCTCGTCTTGAAATATTAGATTCATGTTTTGTAATTGCCAATACATAAGGGTCAGTCTTGCTAAAGTCTCGAGACTTTGGGATTACAGGTCTTTCCAGGTAAAATAACCCGAAATGTCCCAATGATGGAGGGTTAGGAGGGTTAGGGCTATCAATTGGGGATTTCCTAACTTTATGATTGAAGTGAACGCAATAAAGAAAGATTTTTCTTTAGAAAGAAAGTTTCAAAACTTCTACAAAATGGTCTCGAGACTTTGCATAGTCGACTTTACATGGTCTCGCCTTGTCTCGTAAAGTCTTACTAGGTTTTGTCTTATCTCTATCGTATTTTTTTCTTTTTTTTTCTTTCTTTGTTTAATTTATTAATATCTCATCCCCCATCACTACAGTACCAAAGAGCGGGGTGTTTTTCGTACCGCGAGACTGCGGCATTTGGTTGGATGTCGTATTCTTGTAGTACATGTACCCACCATATTTGAGGAAGACACTCAAAAATAGATAGCAGGAAGAATAGAAAAAGATAGTTTCTATGATTCATCAAGTGAGCAAGATTATCGACTCAAAGAAATATCACATATGTGTTATCTCTAGACTATCCAGTCGACCACTTATATACACAAGCTACTACTGAAATTTGCGAACAGATTGAAATAGATTATATTCAACTATAACTTGAAAATCTGTGATAGCCCTATATCATCCGCCCTCAACATCTACCTCTAAATCCCTGCACTATACTATTCTCTTCGAACTCGCCTTGTGAAAGATAGGGCTCCTCGGTCAACCAATCATGACGTAAGGATTATCTGTTAGAAACTTGGGAACCATGTTGGTGTCTTAGTTAGGAGCATCGGGCTCATTAAAAGGGCCCACTGATAAGGATCTGAAGCTAATGTGCTCGTTCAAGAGTTCCGCTATCTTGGTGTGCCCCTTCCGGAGAGCTAATGCTAGCGGTGTCTCATCATCGTTGTTCTTGCTGCTCAGCTCTACCCCCGGCATCTCCAGCAGTAGCTTCACTATCTCAGTGCGCCCCAGATATGCAGCTTGTAATAGTGCTGTATCGCCATTGTTGTCCTTGATGTTTGGGTCTACCCCCGGTTTCTCCAGCAGTAGCTTCATTATCTCTGTGTGCTTTTCATATGCAGCTCGTGATAGTGCTGTATCGCCATTGTTGTTCTTGATGTTTGGGTCTACCCCCGGTTTATCCAGCAGTAGCTTCACTATCTCAGTGCGCCCCAGATATGCAGCTTGTAATAGTGCTGTATCGCCATTGTTGTCCTTGATGTTTGGGTCTACCCCCGGTTTCTCCAGCAGTAGCTTCATTATCTCTGTGTGCTTTTCATATGCAGCTCGTGATAGTGCTGTATCGCCATTGTTGTTCTTAGAGAAAGTATGTGGGAGAAGTGAAGTAATTGATCGTGTTATTTGTGCTAGCTAAGGGGGAATGCCCCGTATTTATACTAAAGAAAGGTAGTACAAAAGAGATACAATGAGTCATGAGCGTGTGAGTAATGGAATGACTAATAGGAAAGTGAGTCATACGCCGATGACAAATACTATATTGAAATGGTGAGAATCTTCCAGAACTATGAAACGTGCCGAGCGCCCTATTTCAAGACTTCCCCTCGTGAGCCACAGTGAATAGTAGAAGAAAATAAAACATGTTTGCCTTTATCCAATCCCTTTGTGAGTAAATCCGCCACGTTCTCGTTCGTAGAAATATATTCCAGTTCAAATAATTCATCCTCAAACCGTTCCCGAACAAAATGAAAGTGTACGTCAATGTGTTTAGACCTTTTATGAAAGACAGGATTTTTAACCAAAGAGAGAGAGCCGTTGTTGTCGCCTCGAAGAATGAAGGAGAGATTTGGTTTTCGTTCCAGCTCGTGGATTGCGTTCCTTAACCAGATCAGTTGTCGACTGGTGTCCGAGAGGGCCATGTATTCCGCTTCAGTTGTAGAAGTGGCGACAGATCGTTGCTTATAAGAGCGCCAGGAGATGAGGGCTTCCCCTAGCATGAAGCAGTGACCGGTGAATGAGCGGCGATCGTCGATGTCGGAGGCATAGCTTGCGTCGCTGTAGCCAATGAGTGCAGTTGGTCGCGTTTTGGTGTAATGGAGTGACCAATCGAGGGTGCCCTTAAGATAACGGAGGACGCGATGGACTGCAGCTAGATGAGCCTTGGTGGGACAGGAGGAAAATTGTGAAAGCATGGTGACGGTGTAGGCGAGGTCGGGTCTAGTGCCGATTACTGCGTACATGAGTGAACCGATTATTGACTGATAAATTGTTGGATCGTCGATTTTCTCAGCTTCCGTTCCTTTTTGGAGGTGGACGTTATTGTCGATAGGTGTTGCCACAGGTCTGGATTCGTCGAAGCCGTATTTGATAAGTACACGCTTGAGATAGGCTTCCTGTGATAGGGCAATGCCAGTCTTAGTGTGGATCAAGTGGATTCCGAGTGCCCAGTTGGCTGTGCCAGTTTCCGTCATTTCGAATTCAGAGTGGAGGAGGAGGCTGACACGGTTTTTGCGTTCAACGGACCAGTAGAAGATGAGGATATCGTCTACGTATATTGCGATGACAACTTCCCCTGTCTTGTGTATGAAGACACAAGGGTCGAAGTCTGCTTTTCTGAATCCTATTTTGATTAGCGCTTTTGAGAGGCGGGCATACCATTCCCTTGAGGATTGTTTGAGTCCGTAGATGCATTTGATTAGTTTGCATGCTTTGCCGGGAGTGGGATAGCCTGGAGGAGATTTCATGTAGATTTCTTCCTTAAGTTCGCCGTATAGAAATGCGCTTGTGACGTCCATCTGATCGCATTGGCCGCCGGTTTGAAGGCAGCGAGCGAGGAGTAGTCTGATGGATTCGTATCGGGTGACGGGGGCATAGGTTTGATCGAAATCTTGACCAGGGACCTGTGAGAAACCTTTTGCGACTAGTCGGGCTTTGTACCGTATGGGTTTGCCATCGGGCCCGAGTTTAATTTTGTATACCCATTTGCAGTCAACTAGTTTGCGGTGGTCCGGTGTGTTGACCAGATTCCATGTGTTATTCCTTGCGAGTGAGTCGAGTTCAACTTTCATAGCATTCTGCCATTTTTCGGAGTCAGGACTGTTCATCGCTTGGTGGTAGTTTGTTGGTTCTGTTAGGGTAGTGTCATGCTGAATGTTGTGTCCGTATCTGACCGGAGGTTTCCGTTCCCGTGCTGGGTTACGTCTCGGTTGATCAGTATCTGTTTCATTATCATCATGCGGGGTACGTTCAGTGGCGGGCCTCGTATAGCCGGCCCCCACTATACTTGCGTGATCTTCCGAATCAGTGTCGGAGAAATGTTCCATGGTTTCGCGCATTATTTGTTGGTTGATCATGTCGTCGTCACTTGGGTCGTCGTCGTATGTTCTATGCTGTTTTGGTGTTGACGGACGTGAGGGTGGTTCTTGTTTGATCTCGATTTGTTTTGGTTTAGGGGGTGTGTCGGTTTTTGTTTTGACTTCGATTTCTTCCCCTACGGATGTACCTTTAAACCTAAAATGACGAGAGAGAACTACTTTCCTTTGTGATGGTATGTAGACGCGACAGATTTTTTCAGAATCTCCGTATCCGCAGAATTGTCCCGTTATAGCCCTAGCATCCAGTTTTGTTCCTGCTGGTCGTGCTTCGACGGGTATGTGTATGAACATGGTTTCACCGAAGGATCGGAGGTGCCCAATAAAGGGTTTCTTGCCGGTGAGTGCTTCGTATGGTGTCATATTCGGGAGTGATTTGTGCGGGAGTCGATTTTTGACGTGTACCATGGTGTTGATCGCTTCTGCCCATAGATTTTTTGGGAGGTTGTGGTCGAGCAAGGCGGATCGTGCCATTGTTGCTATAGTCCTGTTAAAGCGTTCTGCTGTTCCATTTGACTCGTGAGAGTAAGGTACAGTGAATTCATGCTTTATGCCTTTAGAGGCAAAGAATTGTTGGAGGTCATTGGAGATGTACTCGCCACCGTTGTCGCTTCGAAACCGTTTGACCGTTTTGTCTAATTGATTTTCCATGTATGCGATATATCGTTCCGTGGCAGCTGCTGCATCTGACTTCTTTTTAAGGAAGTAGAGGTGAGCGTACCTAGAGTAATCGTCGATGAAGGTGATATAGTAACTAAAACCGCCCAGAGAAGGAGTCGAGAACTTGCCGCTCAGATCTGAGTGTATTAGTTCCAGTGGTTGTTTGGATTGTGGTTCGGTGAGGGGAGCGAGGTGAGATTTGGTTGATTTAGCGAGTTCACATGTGTTGCATGTTTCCATGTGACCAGATGTGGGGAGAGACTTGGGGTCGGCGACCATGGTGCGAAGCCGTGAGAGCGAGGAAGCGGGGAGATGTCCAAGCCGTTGGTGCCAGTCATAGAAGCTGGTGGCGGCAGAGAGGTGTGCGCAGGGTTCCTTGTTTTCAAAGATGTAGAGACCAGTACTATTTGCGTTAGCGATCCCGATGATTTCCTTGCTATTCGGTTTGTAGATGGTAAAGCCGTTTTCTGTCCCAATTGTTGTGAATCCCTTTTTAGCGATGCAAGACCAAGACATCAGGTTGGTATTGCCTAGTTCGGGGATCAAGAATACGTTCTGCAGAGTGATCAGGCCATGTGATCCGTTGATGGTGACGTTGCCAATTCCGGTTATCTGGAGTTTGCGACCTCCTCCAACAGTAACTGTTCCAGTGTGGGGAGTGGGGTCGGTAACCAGCGTTCCGGTCATGTGGTTGGTTGCACCAGGGTCGAAGATCCATGCCTTGTTGTCGGTGGTGGGAGGTCCTGCAATGAAGCCAAAGTAGTCTTCCATGGTAATGTCCGAGGTGTCATCTGAGAAGTTGTTGAGGTCGAAGTCAACCGGCATTGTGAATACATCGGTTTCTTCGAGTGCATCAGCAAGCTCGCCTATTACCCAGGGCGCAGCCCCTACGTCCTGGCGGGCATTCTGCGCCACGAGCGCCCAGCGCGTCCGGCACCGCCAGAGTACAACCTTCGCGCCAGGCTCCGCCGCAGGACCGTCCCACTCTCTGGGACCGCCAGGAGATATGGCTCACGTCTGGAGGGCACTCGCCAATGCTCTGGTCGCCTGGGCCGCCATGAGATTCCCTCCCCCTCCGGAGACGCTAGGATGGAGTGACTCCGCCCACAGCACCTAGGAACTTTTGCTTCTTTTGATTACGTCAGTAGTACACGCGAGCACTTCCCAATGCTCTCACAGTTTTCTTGAATGCTCTCACGGCACGACGAATGCTCTCACGGCACGGCGAATGCTCTCACGGCACCGCGAATGCTCTCACGGCACCGCGAATGCTCCCGCGAATGCTCCCGCGAACGCTCCCGCGAACGCTCCCGCGAGGGCTTCCGCGAGTGCTCCCAGAGCACTCACCAGTGCTCACAGAGCTGAGGCATTCGTCATACCCACTCAAGGTGAGGCAACCCTCACTTGGGCTCCTTTGGATTGATACACCGTCCTCAAAGGATAGGAAGGCCGCACCAGTCCCTCAAAAGATATCTAACGTGGGTATCCTCAACGCCGCTGTACGGTCAGTCGCGGGATACTGATACGAGCACTGTCCTGTATACTGGTGACGACTACCCAACCTTTGACGGACGTGTATGTTTCTGTCGATTCGTGAAAGGCATAATTAGCCTTGAGGTTGAGGCCATG